ACCAAAACCGTGCTACCTTCAAAGTCACTTAATTCATCAGAGTACAAATACACTAGCTTTAAAGACTAAAGGTTTAAACTGAATCTCTCTCAATATCAGGTTTTGATTTTATATGTTAAACCGTGATTTAACTGTGCTTCATTCTTTTCGCTATAGGTTAGAAGACTTCCTCTATTACTGTTAAGTGTATCAACATAATACAGTAATTCATTGAATTCAATTCAAGCTAAAACCTCTAAACATCCTGACTTAGGTCTTGAACACTAATAGGATTATAAAGCATTATCAGCTGTAATCCAGGACTTCCACTCACGGTCAAGTCAGACACTAAGAAACGAGCAGGGCGTAATTACAAGGAACAGAAAATTGATGTTGATGGTCCTTAGATTGAGCCCAGTTTATTACCTTTTGAAGTGCTGGGTTTTTTAGAAACAAGCGGTATATTTGTGTACCAGCTTTTCTTGCAGAGGCACACTGAAAGGAAAGAGACAAAGAACTAAAAACGTGCAGGTTCACTTAAAAGGAAGATTTGCACCTCTGACTCCATTAAGGCACCTCTCAGAACAGCGTGAACACACAAGCCTGCAAATTTATAAGATAAACAGCGTGTGAGGTGAAAATTCGATTTAGTTTGATGGAAGTACTTATTTCAGGCTTCTATTTTTTTGTTGTTGTTATTAAATGTGTGTAATGCTGTTTGATTGGAGCACACGAACTGTCCAAGGACATGTTATATTCTTCTTTAAGTGGCTAAAGTAGAACACTGTGTACCACAGCTGTTGTACGCAGCTGTGGAAAACGTGGTGTGTTCAGGTACGCATCCTCTGAGTAGAAGGTTTTTCTCTTGTCTAAAAAGTGAAGTTGCAGGTATTAAAGGACCAATCTGGACTGTGGTGGTGGCAGGGTGGTGTGTGAAGAGTTAATATGAGCCTCCATCAAAACTAAAGTGTGGGCAAGCTTTTTCCTGCCTCATACGGTATGATGAAACTATGACAAGGATTGAGAAATATGATGACTGATCAGTGCCTCGGTTAGTCAGCAGTGAAAAATGTGGCTGACTGGCATGACATGTAAAATTTTGGCAGGTATTTATGACAGTCAGAGAGCTAAGACCACACCTCTGTGGGGGGGTTTCATTCTCATGGAACTTCACTTACCCAATAAGTGGCATTGTTTTAGCCCATGTTTTAAATTACACAGAGCGAGTTAAGTCGTTGTTTCACATGGCGATAAACACACACACTGGAATTCACTCTGGCAGCATAATTATTGCAGCTTAAAGACGGATTTATACATGAAAGCGCAGAAAGCGTACACATGTAGGGTTTACTACGTATGGTTTGACCCAGATGTGGAAGCTGTTGTTGGCAGATCAGGGTCACTGTGATAAAACCCTTATCCGAGAGCTTATACAAGCATGCATATCTGGTGGCAAAAACACTTATAGTGTGATACTGAAGCTGCTGAGCCCTTTTGAAGGAAAACAACTGTGATAGCTGTAAATATGAATTATTAGAAACCAGAGGGTCTGAAACTGAAGGTCCAAATTCTACCACAGAGGAGTGGTCACCACTTAATTAAGGACGAACACAGTTTTTTATATATTTTAAAGACTTTTCTTATTTTGTCCTTTTGTTTCGTGAAATCTTTTCAGCTATTAAAAAACAAACACCTTCAAATCACTCTGGATGATCTCAAGACATCAATCACAAATAGACGCTCCTTCTTTTTAGGGGTGGAAGATAAAAGAGATAAAAATGATCCCGCCATGTTTTTGATTTTGGATCTACTTGTGCTGAGCAGTTTAATGTAATTCACAGTTTGCAATATTAGATGTGTTTTTTACTGCACTCTTTCAGTTCATCCTCTGATTGAAACAAGCCATTTCAGCTCCATTACCCTTGCCTTTGTGCTAACTCTTTCTTCAGATTGGATGGACTATGCAAACAACAGGCCAGAGATGTGTGCTCGGGTGGCCAAATGAAGGATACTGCCTCTCTTTAACATCATAAGCGTAAACTCTTGGCTCACTTTTATATATGCTCAGAAAAATGATTTGAAACTATACCCATGTTTAATATGAGCACACACCATTATAGCACTATATTTATTGCAGAAAAATAAGAACAGTTCCTGTTAGTCCAAATCCGCTCACAAGAAAATAGCTGAAAGCAAATCGATCATTTCATTCATTTTTGAGGTGAAATGGTCCTTTCTGTTTAGACTAATTCATAACCGGGACGGCTGAAAGTAGCATGCTGCAGTCCTAAAATAATAACGATAATAAGAGCACTGAAATTATAAGTATACATTATAACACCCTTACATTAATAACAGTATTTTCTATATATTGATTTAATTTTCTTTGTTCTTTTTACACATTCTTTAAGAGGTTTGTAGTACAAAAATTGCATATCATTTGAGGAACATAGCCAGAATCAGACAAGTTTTGTCAAGCAACACTGCAGAGGTTCTTGTCCATGCATTTCTGTCTCAGGCCCTCGCTCTCCCGGGAAGAGTGATAGATGTCCCGGGCAGACCTCATGACCAGGGAGAGTAGGAGGCGCCGGTGAAGTGTCAGTCCTCCTCTCTGGGTCCTGGAGGCGTACAGCTCTTCTTTCTGGGCTACCAAAGAAACGTTTTAGAGGTCTACAGATGGTGCAAAATGCAGCTGCTCGCATTTTAACAAGAACTGGGAAATTTGAGCACATTACCCCTGTACTGAGATGTCTTCATTGGATACCTTGTCAGGTTCGAGCAGATTTTAAGGTACCTTCATACCTCCCCGACCTTTTACACCTTTATGTTCCATCTTGTGCTCTACAGTCTCAGGACTCTGGCCTTCTGAAGGTTCCTGGAGCCAGAAAAAAGACAACTGGAGAGCGTGCTTTTTTCTTTTCGTGCCCCGTTTCTGTGGAACAACCTCGCTCAAGATATTAGGCAGGCATGCTCTGTGGAGGTTTTTAAAACTAAGTTGAAGATGTTCACCCTATCTTACATGTCTTAATTCTATGGCTTTTAGTTTTTACATTTTTACTGTTTTTAACTTGTATTGTGTTTTTTACTTGTATTGCTATGTGTCGCTTTTATTTTATTTATCTCTTTAGTTTCAAATAGTTGTACAGCACTTTGTTTGAAAGCGCTTTATAAATAAAGTTATTATGATTATTATTATTATTATTATTAAAAAACACATTTTGGGGTCAACTTGAAAGAGAAGTAGATGTGAAATGCAAAAGTGAGTGAAAAGTGGTGATATGTAGAACCCCCTTATATCATTCCCTATATGTTGTCAGTACAAACAATGGCATTATGAAACATAGCATTATTATCACTTTGACCTTGAGACCAAACTATTGATCTTGGAGGAGAGGTCAGAGGTCAAATGTGGCATGATATTGTAAACCTTCATGTGGTACTTTGAATATCTTGATAAAACACGCCACACTTCATACACCACACACGAATCATAGTTTCTAAGTGATAAGGTTATAAAGGTTTTTGTCAGTTTACAACCAATAAATCATAGAGTTTACCTTCAACACCTCGGTGGATGTAAGGTAAACTTACTCAAAAACTTTTGAGTAATTGTGTTTACAGACAAAAAGAATGACACACGGGTCTAATGTTTTAAGCTTAAGGTGTTCACAAACCTCATGTGGCTCCAGACTTAGCGGCTCTCTGGAACGTTGACAGCAGTGGAAAAAGTTAGACAACTCTACCTTCGAATTACTTTCGTTTTTTCCAACGAATGAACTCTTCACACTTCAGGATGACATCAGACTGAAGGTCAAAATCTCTTTCTACTTCACCTTTTCCTCAACACCTTATAATAAATGTTCACAGTCATGTTAGTGCTCTCCATTGTTCTGCACTGTAGCTCATGTGTAATAAAGGAATGCCATGATCAGACTTCCAGGAACCTTGTTTTTCTTCACTGCTGACTTCACTGTGTACTAAATGTGGCTGCAACTATAATCAAACCCATGAACTCATCGCAATTGGTTTTTCAGCAAACATTCCACATACTGTGTCCGAGTCTTGTCAACAGGATATTTGTCACACTGAAGAATTACTCCAGTCTTTTACAAACAGCCTGGCTTATTTATAGCTCTGCCTCTCACACTTTGTTGCAGCAGTGTTGCCATCCTCTCCTACATTAGAACAGCATGTGACCCATAAGTGGCAAAAATAATGGTAATGATTTGCCAGAACTACTAAATAACAGCTAAGCTGAGGAGTAAAAATTATAATTTTTCAGTATTTGGGGTCAGGGGGAGTTGTAATTGTGTGAGCTGTGTAAGTTCTTCTTTCATTTTTAATTCCTCTTCACCTCAGGTTCTGCTTCAATATGCGGTAAATGAGGAGGAAGTAGACGTGGGTGAAGGGTAATGTTAAAGGTGACAGGGATCTTACATGATAATGAGGATGATGACTGCACAACCGGAACAACCTGATCAGAGTCGCCTCCGTCGTTGAGTTTCGGGGTGTAGTTACACTCGAGGCAGCTGGCAGGAAGTTAATGATGAAGAAACCCTCAGGTTCTAAACACCACCTGCTGCTGTGTGCATTATTCAGCAGCGGCGTTTGGCCCCAGCTGCGATGTTGCGTAACTCTTCTAATACCCCCTCACCGAATCGGTGTCAGGTCATGTTGGTAGGATGTGATTCAGAATTCTGTCATAATCCACAGGAAGTGGTACAACCAGCGAAGCTGTTCATTTGTGTGTGCGTGTGTTTGTATGTGTCTTAGTGTAAGCACAAGATTAGTGACAGCAAGCCAGACTGGCGCTGGGCTGTACCATCCTCCTTCTGTTTTAAAGGATTGACCCTCTAAACTGTGGCCTAATGTTGACTAGCAGACCTTTTGATCTGAAAAGGAGGTGTGTGTGTGTGTGTGTGTGTGTGTGTGTGTGTGTGTGTGTGTGTGTGTGTGTGTGTGTGTGTGTGTTTGAAACTTTAAACGTCAGTCTATTAGAACAAAGATTTCAGGACAACTCATTAACCTTTCTACATGTTTATTAGAAACATTTACAACATTAATTCAGTCACATGAATTAAAGAGCAGCTTTGAATGTGAGGTAACATCATTTCACAGACGAGACATGAACAAGGTGGTTTCAATGACATTAAAACACACACAGTTTAAATTAATGGGCTTCCAACCCCACGTGGACAGCCATGTGAACACAGTATGTAGGACAGTCCCCCAAGCAGTAGTATCGATTTATCAAAGTCCACAGCAGCAGCAGCTGAACGTGCATGTAAATGTATGCGCAGCAGTGTGTCTGCCTCAATTGTCCTTCCTTTTAACAGTGTTTCAGTGTGATATCCGGGTGTAAAGGCCGGGAAATCCCTGAATGCCCGGTTTTGTGTGTATGTGTGTGTGTACTGGTTTATGGTCAACTGTTAACCACTTCACTTCTTCTCTGTCTGACTCAAGTCTCTTTCTGCTGATTCACACATACACACACTTTGAGTCAGCGGCAGTCACTTGTTTGGACTCATTAAACTGAAGGTGAATCACCAGGAAACAAAAAGCAACACAACCAGTTCCCCTTCGGGTTCTTCCTCAAACTTTCCGCCGTCTCTCTTGCCGGCCCGCTTCTTCTCCTTGTGTGCTTTGTTGTTATCTGTGGGGGCTTTACAAGCCCGGCAGGCACACTGTGATTGACCGGAGAGCTCGGACCAGTGCCCCGGTAATCCCACTGTCCCGGGACTGCTGATGTAGGTCAGCTCCGCGGTGCGCAAAGGGATCACAGCGCCCTTATAGGTTAACGAGGAGTAGAGAATCACTCCGCTCTAAAGTCCCCATAGGAGGCTAATTTCTCCCTCCATCTGTTCAGAAGGCAGGTATAACCCGATTTAGAGACAAAGTGGTCAGGGACTCCCCGGCGCGACAGCTGCCGAGTGGGACCTCATACCTCTCTTCCCCGGGCTCCAGCCTCGCCCTCTTACTCGGGAGGAAGTCAGGCGCCGCCGACGCCTTCCCTCGGCGTTTCCTGGACTGCTTGGCAGGGCTTAAGTTCTCTTTGTCCTCTATGATTTCGCTATCACACCCGTCCTCCGTGTTGTCAGGCTCCTCTGGAGCCGTTTCGGTTGAGTTAAGTACCGGCTGGGGTTCTGGCTGAGGCTCTGGTAGCCGGGTTTGTTCCCCTGGGCTGGAGCTGGTGTCCATCGGCTCCTCCGGAGCTGACTGCGCCCCGCTCAGGACCTCGCTCTCCCGGGAAGAGTGATAGATGTCCCGGGCAGACCTCATGACCAGGGAGAGTAGGAGGCTCCGGTGAAGTCTCAGTCCTCCTCTCTGGGTCCTGGAGGCGTACAGCTTGCTTATAGACACGGCCAGGATCCGCCTGGCTTCGATGTTCACTTCCATTGCTGTTGTGGCACTCATTGTTTTTCTGTGCGTAATTGCGCACCGTTGTTTTGGCACTTTAACCAAAGGCGAAAGGCTGAGTTTAACTTTAGTTTCTAGCTTGTATTCTATCTTAGCTCAGACTCCGGCTCTTCTCCGTTTGTTGTCATCTGAGAAATGAGAGAGTGTGAGTAGCAGGGTGGTGTTTTATTTCCTCTCTGACGTAATGTGGACTTCATTCCTCTGTAAGTGACAAACAGGCGCCGCCCACACCTGATGTAGCTGTAGCAGCAGCACACACACACACACACACACACACACACACACACACACACACACACACACACACACACACACACACACACACACACACACACACACACACCATCTGTTCTGTCTAGCATTCCTTCCTCACAGTTTTGTCTTGTATTACTTGGATATCTTTCCCTTAGCTGTAATCAACTTGAATGGTGCTTTGGTTTCTAGTAACATATTTTCTTTTTATCATTTTCAAACTTTTCCATAAAACATTTTAAATATGTCAAACATGGTCTCAATGTTTGATGCATATTTTATTCAAAAATATTTCTAAGACATTTTATTTTATTATCATTGTAGGCTTAAATCGCCCTTTACTATCTATCTATCTATCTATCTATCTATCTATCTATCTATCTATCTATCTATCTATCTATCTATCTATCTATCTATCTAAAAAACTTGCTCGTGGCAACTTTACGAGCAGAGGTTTGAAACATGAGAGGCTATTGAGCACATCAGATGTCAGATGTGCTGCCTGGTGTTTAAGGATGTTTTTGAATGTAAAGTACCTTTAAAAAGCAATAAATGAAGAATGGTAATTGAGCAGCGTGAGATTAACCGCTGTTTACATTCGGGTAAAAACCCAGGCAGCAATTCGAAGAACTGACGTGGGAAAAGGAAGTGTGTTCAGTTTCTCGTGAGTTTTGGCTCCTCCTCTATATCACACAAGCACACAGAGCAGCATACTCGTGACTTCAGAGGACATTCCGTTGACTTACATGACTAGCTGTACTGTAACCATAACTAGCCCAGAGTGCTTGTTGTCTAAACTTAGCCCCAGTCCCAAACTTAAACCTTCAGATCTGACCAACTTGTTGTGTGTTTGTCACTTTAGCATGAAGACGCTCTATAACTAGCTTTAGGTCCCCACAACAGGAGTAACGCCTGGACCACACACTCATGCGCTCGCCGCGTCATTCACTCACACGTTCTGCCTCCATATATGGCTCATCCGGTAGCCTGGGAACGCGCACAGTGGAAAAGCCGTGACGCGAACGCGCAACCGCAGCCCTTCCTCCCCACGGTCCCCTCTGTCTCTGTGTGCCCGGTGGCGGTGGTGGCGTCATCTGTACTCCATATATGGAGTTATCACCGGTGTAAATAAGGTTACTTAGCAGCTGTACGACCGAAGTCAAACGGCAGGAGCCTTTCTGTCCGTGCTGCTTTCAAGTCCCATTGGAAATATGTTATCTTAGCCTAACAGCGCAGAAAAGCCTCAGATTCTGCAGGGAGAAATGCGTAATAGAAGTCTTTCCAGAGAGCAAACGGATGTGCACGCACTTTTATCAATCATTTTGTTATTTATCTCTCCCTTTATTTGGTAGGGACAATGAAATATGACAATAGGTGAAGGAAAAAGGCATAAAAGCTACAACGAGCTATTTCTTCCATTCAGATTGCAGCATCAGAGAAGTCAGCATGACAAAAGTAAATATTTTCACTTAGCCTACTTGTGTCATAAACCTGTCTGAGTTTGCTTTGTTTTTTTTTTTCTACAAAAACGCTTAAATGCAAATTCTGGGTATTTAGTAAAGGTCAGTTTAAGGTTAATACGTGGGGATGATGGACTGTATATAAAAGATGGACACAGCTTTGTGACATTATCAATATATTTGTAAATTTGTGTTTTAAACTAAACTTGAACTAAAAAGCAGAAAAATGAATTTCTTATACTTTGAAGCATCTCACTGTGTGTGTGTGTGTGTGTGTGTGTGTGTGTGTGTGTGTGTGTGTGTGTGTGTGGAGGGGTGTGTGGGGGAGGACAGAAATAGTAAAGCAATCAAACAAAATGAACTCATACACCTGAAATCAGGCAAATTCCATAACTTAGTACAACTACAGTTATACCCTCTCGTCAGGCACTCATTTTCATTTTTTTTTACGCCCACACGTAACTCTGCCTGTCACACAACTGCAAGTCAGTGCAGTATAATCATTGGCGCGGCATCCCAATTACACTCGTTATCACTAACACTGGTAATCATCGCCCTCAAGTGCTGTAAAACATGCAAGCGGTAACCATGGAAACGTTTCCCATCACTGCTTTTCCTTCCCTGATGACGTGGACATGGCACCAGAAACACAAACAATATATTGGATACAGCTTGCACTGCATGCACTGTCTTCTTTGTTATTCCAACTATACAATTTACTGGACGTGTAAAAGAATAGGGGCAATAAAGTGGGCTGCAATAGCTGCAATATATTTTTATGACTTTGCCAACAAAACATTGTCGTTTTAGCTGGTTGCTTTACATTTGATAGATTTTACTTTACACTTGGGTAAAAGAATAGAATTAGAAGATCACAAAGATGTTATCAGAGATCGCTTTAAATGTTCAGAAAAGCAAATGATCAAAGTTTATTGCTACTTGCAAGAATGCAAGTAGCAATAAACTACTTGCATTCTTTCTTTCAACAATCACGTAAGTTTTTGGTCTGAATCAGTAAAAATTGTAAAAAAAATAAACTGATTTGTTGTTAGCAGTTTGTTTTTGTTTTTTTTATAATCACATTTTACTCCTAGTATGCACGTTTAATGAGCTATATAAGCTGAGCAGATCTTAAGCAAAGAAAACAACTAAACATGACTTCACTTGAGGTCTGTGGATCCGTCGCTATGGTGACAATGTTATGTGAGATTATACTTACGCTGCCTCTGCCTAAGGCCAAATGTGAAGCGGGGAGTGTGAGTTGGTGTGTGTGTGTGTGTGCGCAGCAGACTAGAGGGCAGTGCCTGCTTTTTCACTGCGCAGTAATTCTTTGTATAGGATACAGTAAACAGTGGTTGGTAGTGCTGGGAGATGACCTAGTTGGCAAAGCAGACTACAGGTGGAAAGCATAGAAACAGTTGCTACAATGAACATTATATAATGGCTGAGATTTTATTAACATATGCCTACATTTTAAAGCGCCATAGCTGCTATCGTCTATTTTTTAAGGACGGTTGTTAATGCTCTTCAGTAGGATATCCACAGTCAAGGGAAAGAGAAAGTACACCCTATTTTAATCCCAAAGTTTTACCTATCAGGACAATAAAAAATAATTTAGTCCTTCCCAAATTAAAAAAAAATATATATAGATAAATACAACCTTAGATAAACAACAGTGCATGACACATATTACACAACGTCGTCATCTGACAAAAGCTGAACCAAAATGTGGAAGCAGTGTGTGAAAATCTAAGAAAAATACAAGTACACCCCATGACTCAATAACTGTTAGAAGCATTTTTAGCAGCAATAATTTGAAGCATTTGTTTTCTGCACGACTTCATCACACTCACACATTGTTGTGGAGGGCTTTTGGCCCGCTCTTCTTGACAGTGTAGCTTCAGTTCATTGACAGTTGCAGGCATTCATATTTACACAACTCTTTTAAGGTCCCACCGTAGCATTTCAGTCAGGCTGTTTCCTGTTGTAGATTTGCTGGTGTTCTCGAGATCATTGCCATGTTATATGACCCAGTTTTTTCCAACGTTTGCTGTCAGACAGATGTGACACTGCAATACTTTGGTAAACAGAGGAGTTGACTCAGTGACTGCAAGGCGTCCAAGTCCTGTGGTTGCAGAATAGGTCTAAATCACCCCTCCTCCACTTTGCTTGACAGTGGAGGTGTTTATACTGATCTGCTGTGTTTAGTTTCCAGCAAACATTGCCCTGTGTATTATGGCTAAACATCTCCACTTTGGTCTTGTCTGTCCACAGGACATTGATCCAGAAGTCTTGTGATTTGTTCAGCTTTGCAAACCAAGCTGCCGTGGGGTTTTTTTTTTGGGTTTTTTTTAGATAGAAGAGTCTTTCTCCTGGCAACCCTTCCAAACAAGCCATACTGGTTCAGTCTTTGTCTAAATGTGCTGTCGTGAACTTCAATGTTTCGCATACCGGCTGAGGCCGGTCTGAGAGTCTGAGATGTAGCTCTTGGGACTTTTGCAGTTTCTCTTAGCATTGCTTGGTCGGACTTTGGAGTATATTTGCTTAGACCACCACTCCTGCAGAGATTGACAACTGTCTTCAATCTTTGAATAATCTTTCTCATTGTAGAATGACAGACTTCATTTTGTCTGAAAATGCCCCATAACCCATCCCAAGCTGATGGGCAGCAACTTCTTCTTTAATTCCATTGTAGAGGTTTTTCCTCCTCGCCGTTGTGTTATCACACACCCAAATGCTCCAGATCAGCGAACTTTCAAAACCTCTGCTTTTTCTTAGTTGCTCACTCTTGCTGATGATCAGTTTGTCTTTACCTGATTTTAAGACCTGCTGAGAAACCTGCTGTAAATCCAAAAGCACACACACACTCTCTACTTATTAGGTTGCAGCTTTACAAACTCTATTTTTATTTGAGTGCAACTTTGATTGAACATTTCCTCCGGGTAAACAAAGTAATTACTTTAGGAAAAGATATAAATAAATCTTATAAAGTTTGTATCTGTCTTGTGTGAAACTTGTATGAAAAGCATACAAGAGTGAAAACAGATATAAGATCCCTTGAAAAATTATATAAATGAAACTTGTATGTTTTGGATACTTACTAAAACAATATATGAAAGTAATGAGAAAGTGGCCACTTTCATGAGTAAACCATATAAGCCTTATATGATTCAGTATAGGCCACATCTTATGCAAGTCTTTTATAAATTTTTACTATTTCTTTTCCATATGGGAAGCGGAAAATAAATCTGAATTGATTCTTATATGCAACAGTCGCACACTCAGGTGTTTCCTTTTTCCAGTCCCAGCATCTCTGTTGTGAACTGCTTTTGTCTGTTTCAGTAGGAAAGCTTCTATAGATTAGCACATCTCCTTCTGAGCTACACATTTCTTGTGAGGCCCACATGTACTGTCACTTCCCATCATGCGCTTCC